GGCGATGTCGCAGATGGGGATGCGGTGGGAGTAGGGGTTGGTGACGTTGACGTGGCTGTGCACCGTGATGGCCTCGCGGGTCATGCCCTTGAAGCTCACCTTGTCCAGCGACGCCTCCGGCTTGGGCATGTGCGCGATCTTGTCGGCGACGAACCCCTTGGCCTTGTCCAACAGGCCCGCCATGGCCGCCCCTTGCTCTCTTCCCGCTCCTTCCCGCCTCTGATCTCTCTGCCTCTAGCTTCACCTCAGACTCTTCCTGGACCGATGTGAATGTGATGGATGAAGAACGGCAAGGGAATAGCACAGCTCTGCGCCTGTTTATAGGGAGGCGAAGGAGCCGACCACGGCCGGCCCGCGTGGGCACCATGTGCAGAGCCGCGTGGTATCCGAGTGGGATTTTTTGGGATTTGGTACGTGCAACCCGGCGATATTTCGCGAGGCGGCGAGCTGGCCACGGACGGGCCGACGTTGAAGCCTCTGGTGGACTTTGGGGTAGCGTGGATTCGAGCTACGGCAAGGGGGAATAGAATTCGGTGACGGGAAAGGGAAAGGGAAAGGAGGAAGCTTCTGCTTCGGCGGGGATCCCACGCGGCGCGATTCCCCGCATGGACGGTGCTGAATCGGCATCTCTTCCCCGTTCTTATCTGCTGCCGCGTCGCCCGATCGCATCGCACCGACGAACTGACATCAATGTCCAAGTGCTCTTTGTTTATACGAACAAATACTTTTTTTTCGATAGCAGTGTGGATGGAAAAAAATACAGCATTACCGTAAGCACATTTAATTATGTACTCCCTCCTTTCCTTTATGTGAGCTGTATTTATTTTTTTAATATAAAATTTCACAATTTAAGGTGCATTTTTTTGTAATTTCTCATAATTTCAGTTTTAGCCCTTCAGAAGAAAAAGGAAATTATCGCTCTCCCGGTTTAATGTATCTCTTGTTTTAGGAAAAGATGGAAGTATATCTTCCTGATTGCATGTATCTCCTCATTTCATGGCCTAATTGATTTACCTGCTGCTAGCCAACGAATTAGCTGAGGTTAATTTTGTCATAAATTCTTAAAAATTACTCCCTCCGTCCGGAAATACTTGTGATTGAAATGAATGTATCTAGATGTATTTTAGTTCTGAATACATCAATTTTCATCCATTTCGATGACAAGTAATTCCGGGCGGAGGGAGTATATGCCTTGGTCACCATGGCAGAAAAAATGCACCTTGCATAAAGGAATGGAGGGAGTATATACTAACAATTTTTCCGTGCGCTACAATGGGGCATATATATTCTAGTGGTTCAATATCGATTTTGTATGATATAACTTATACCCATCAAATTTATAGATTTTGATAACATTTAATTTCATTTGAGTATGGGAGGTGAAGACAAGTAAAATTATGATATCATTGAGGTTTTGGTAAGATTTGCTTTGATTTTATTCGAGTATGGCTATCGGAGCGCAATAAAAGTTATGATTTAATTGAGATTTTGATAAGATTTGGTTTGATTTAATTTAGGACGTGGTTGTGATAAAATATTGATACATAAAAATTGCTGAAAGAATTATTTTATGTTGGTTTTATTCAAAGTTACTCTACCTATGTTGGTTTTTATTTTATGCGGCATTTGTTGAAATTACCGAAAGAATCAATAAGAAACCAAATGAGAGAGGACCTAGGGAGGAAAAATCAGAGAACTACCAACTCCCCTTTAATAATAGGGTTACAAGTTGAATATAAACAACCACCACATGTGAGGTTAGATTTTGAAAACCAATGCATTCTTTTTTTTTCTTTTGAAAAAACCAATAAAAAATCACCAATCCCATATAAATTTATTTATCGCTTTGTAGGAGCGGAGTCGCTCTATACCTCCAAACTTTATGGAAAACAACTCTAGCAGACTTGTTATAATATCAAATGTCATCCATCATACGAAACATGCTCCATAATAATAATATGAAGACTACAGAGGCAACGTGTAAACTCAACATCGCCATAAACATAGTCTCCAAATATTTCTTACATGTAGATCCCACTCGTTATTAACTACATCGTTTTCCTCCAATTTCACACCTAGAGCTACAATTCAAAAGCACAATTTGCTAGCATTACTCACAAAAAACATACTCTAGCACGACAAATGAAGGTTCAAGCTTGATTTCATATTTGTTTAAAATTATATTAAACATACAATGGAGCATCTAAGATTTTAATGGAGTGCTCCATCTAATGCTTTTTATAATTTTGAATGGCGCTTCAAGGAGATACGCTCCTCCTTCGAGAACGGTTGGGGATGGGAGGGATATAAGCTATCGAACACGACAACTACTATTTTTTAGCGGCAGGTGGCAGGAAAACTTGGCGGACGGAGGAAAAAATGGACGGGATTTAGGGCTGACATGCCAGTCCACTCTCTCTCTCTCTCTCTCTCTCTCTCTCTCTCTCTCTCTCCTCGCGTGCCATATAGGCCATAATGTAAAAAAATTCTCCACAAGTAACTTCGTGAGAATACGCTATTGCTTCCATGAACTCTTCCGATGTCAACGCCTAAACACATTTCGACATCGCACATTAAATAAATAAGTGTCTTTTGCGAGGATAGAATTAAGTTATTGAGATCGGTGCACCGGTAGGCATATAAACTCACAACCCATAGGCTCCTAAGATTCCCGTCCAACCCAATAATAGCACGCATACTAAAATGGTCCAGCCTGTTATCGCAGCTCGGTGAAACTATAAATAAGTGGAAGCTTGGCAAGTTGGCTTTAGGGGAACTCCTATACGATGCTTACTGCATACAATAACAATGTGTTGCACAGGGGCAACCTGGTTGGGACACCAGCAAATTACCGTTGTATCGAATGATCACAGCAGCGGACGTTCAAGATAATGATGTTTACGGCAGCGATGTTCACTGTACAATCATTTTACTCGAGCACAGGAATTGTAGCGCCCAATCCTAAAATTTACGAACAAATAGATTTTTGCCAAAACCAAACAATTTTAAAGTTTAGGAATATTTTAGAAACACGTGCATTTTAAAAAAACACGCAAAATTTATGATTTTTTTACTTTTTTGTAATTTACAGAATTTCTCATAAAAATAAACTAATTCTTGAAATTCGAACATTTTTCAAACTATAAGACAAATCTGAATTTTTTAAAAAAAAATGATTTTTCAAGAAATAGCATTTTTTAAATAGGAAAAAATATTTATTAAAAGGGAGCAGTTTTTGAAATTTTAAGAAATTTTTGTATAATACAAATAGTGTTGAAAATCTCCCTTTTAAAAAACAGCAAACAATTTTCGAAATTCAGTACACTTTTTAGAGATTATGTTAAAAAGTTGGAAATTATGGATTTTAGAAACAAAAACCAGAAGAAAAATGAAGCTAGAAACGGAAATAGAAAATGAAATGGAAACAACCAAAACGAAAACCAGGAAATCTAGTACTCCGTACAAGATAACCAGACAATGGGAAAAGATTCCCCTTAACCGGCTGATTTCTTGGAACGCCACCTCGCTCGTGAAACATATGTCCCACGTGACACGACACTGGCTCCTGATGATATTTTTGCAACATCTGCAACATCACCAATCTGGCATAAGTTTCTTCCGTAACATTAGCTATGTCGTGAAAACACGATGACGAAAAAAAATCTGCAAGAAAACATCTGTTGCCAAAAAAAATCTGCAACAAAAACTCAATTGCAAAAAAGAAATGCAAAATGATGAAGAGGAAAAAAGTAATTCTGCGACAAAGGATGTGTTGCAAAAAAATATCTGCAACAAAATCTCAGTTGCAAAAAAATTATGCAACAAGACCTCTGTTGCAGAATTTTTCTGCGACAAGACCTATGTTGCAATGATGGAGGGCGCCTATGCGCCTGATCTAATGGCCTGCGAACCGACCGATGTTTTAAAAAGATCATCCGGCGGACACGTGGCAGTCCCCCCGAAAATACTCAGTTACGAAACTTTCTAGAAGGTTCCCAAAACTGCTAAAACTGGACTGTTGAAATGGGTCGGCTCGATATTATAGATCACTTGTTCGTATGTGTGCTCTGGGTGAGAGGGCACCCTTTGAACCCAAGGGAATATGCACCCACTTTTCAAAAAATGCATTTTAAGCATGTTTTAAAATGGCAAAAAAATCAAAAGAAAATATTACACATACATGTTCGCAAATGTGTGTACGTGGCACAAAGTTTTGTGAAAAAAATGTTTTTTTGTTTTGTCTCCGAAAAAAGACAAATTTCAGTGCTTCTAAATGCGGCATAAGTTTCTTCCATAACATTAGCTATGTCGTAAAAACACAATGACGAAAAAAAATCTGCAAGAAAACATCTGTTGCCAAAAAAAAAATCTGCTATGAGGCCTTGATTTTTGGAAAGGCCATTAAAGATAAGGATCCGTTTAGATATGTTGGATATTGTGTAAAATTAAATGATAGATGACGTCATGGTGGGTTACCACAATCCTAGGAGGTGACATCATGGCGGGTTATGAGTTCTCGCACAAATGAAGAAGGGAAGATTTTTCCTAAGTGTTGAAGATTGACATGAACAAGTTCAAATCAACTTAGGGCCTAATGTTGGGGATATAACTATTAGGTATGACCCGCCCAGGAGGGGACGGGTTATTACCTATGACGGTTCATCAATATGAAGCCCATGAGGATACTGAAGATGGCGGTTCACAGGCAAGGGCCCAAGGCCCAAGGGCGACCTAAGGCCCATAGAAGTACAAGTTTTATCCAGTTTCGTGTGGTAATATAATAGGTCTAGATTTAAACGGGCGGTCAAGGTAGCCGGGTCAGAGCAAAGTTCTCATGCCAACACGCAGGACCTAGCTGCTATAACTAATCCATCATCGTTCTAGCTCCCCCTCACGAAAACAAGTCCTCCTCGATATCGATCTCAATCGGAAGTAGCTCGGCCTAGCTAGTCCGTCTCCTCTCAAAGCCTACTCAACCTACGTCTACGTAACGGTGGGACATGATGGACATGGTGCACATCGACCTCCTGCTGGAGATACTCCGCCGCCTGCCCCCTCGCAGCCTCGCAGTCTCCCGCTGCGCCTGCACGGCCTGGCGCGCCGCCATCGACCACCACCGTCTCCTGCGCGCCGACCTTCTCCCGCTCTCCGTTGACGCCGCCGTCTACGACGAACGCAGCAGCGAAGAGCCAGCGAGGCTCTTCGGACGCCCCTCCACCGCACGCCACATCACCAGCAACCTTGAGTACCTCGCGGACGACCGGTTAGACGTTCGCGGCGTACAGGATCACTGCAACGGCCTCTTCTTGACCCACGGCTGGATGGATGAGTTTAGGGTCAAGGTTGTCAATATCGCCACGCGGCAGTGGGCGCCGCTGCCCCTACTGCCGTGCGCGTGCTCATGGCCACCGGCCATGTGCGGGCGCTGCCGCAACAACCGCTACCTCGTCTATGACCCCACCATCTCACCACACTACAAGGTGTTGTACATCCCTCGTATTCTCGCTGACACCACCTGCGCCGAGTGGCCGCCTACGCCGTATGTCATGTATGTCTTCTCGTCAAGGACAGACCATTGGAAGGAGACGTCATTTGTTCGAGAAGGTGCTGCCGCTGGAACTGCTGACGATGTAAACTCCTGTAGCTATGATCCTGATGAGCACATGCACTACGCCGCTTATTGGCAAGGGTCACTCTACGTTCCTTCCCCGCGCATAAAGGATGATTTTCTTTTGAGGTATGTATGTAATGTGTTACTCTCACAGTACTCACACACTCGACAATGCATGGTTACTTTAGTTTTATTTTTGTCAATATAATTTGATTAATTCGTTTGAGGTAGTATTACTCACACTCAGCCACTTTGATTTATTCTTCTTATATAGTATATTATGTAAAAAGAAATAATAATTCTGGCAATTAATCTTAAGCGGTGATTATCTTCTTACAGAATAAACTTGTCGAGTGACAAGTACCAGCTAATTAAGTTGCCAAAAGGACGAGTAGAATCACATTTTCGTCTAGGCAAATCGAAGAAAGGGGTCTATTGTGTAATGAATACCAATGTGCGATGCACGTTTCGAGTTTGGTTTCTTCATGAATCGTGTGGTCTGACAGACTGAGTTTTGAAGAATGAAATCAACCTTGAGCCGGCATTTACTAAACAAGATTGGCATTGTGGACCATGGATCCCACAGCCGCCTGAGCATATCCAGTTGTTGTTGAAGAGTAATATCAACCTTAAGCTTGCAGATGAATACAACGAAGCAGTAGCGAAAGATGGTTTTGATTGGGACTCGGACGACGAAGATCTTGTTAGCATTACAGACTGGCCTAAAAAGTGTGATGCTTACGTTGAGGGCCCTTATTGTCTTGGTTTTCATCCCTATAAAGAAATTGTCTTCTTTAATGAAAGAGGGGTGTGCCCTTGTTCAATGGTAGCCTACCATTTAAACAGCTCAAGGATACGGTACCTGGGTAATATGAGGTCCCGCTGCCACTATTCAATGGAAGAGGTTTCTTTTGCCTACACACCATGTTGGATGATGGACTTACCTGGAAGCAACTGATAGGCGCCATGTGGTTGAAGTATTTCGTTTTTATTAGATAATCTAAATATTTTTCAGCGAGGATCAATGTGAGCGACAATATAATGTCTTATTTAGTTTTTCATGGTACACTTTTTTGTAGCGGTGCTCGTATGTGATTGATTTGTGGTGCTGGTGGAATCAAGTCAATTCTATTATGCCACTATTTTATTTGTTTCTCCGTGCATCTTTTCTACATACCTGGACCTGTTATTCCCTTTTTCATTTGTCTGTCTATGCACCGTTTCTAGGTAGCCTGGTTTTATTCAATGTTAAGGAGGCGCTCACGTGTTTCCGTTTGGTTCATTAAAGAATCCTTTTTTCAATGCAAGTTGCACCTCATTTTTTGATCCATGATGTTAACTATTTCAGAAATAATCGTTTTGAAATCATCGTGGACATTCAATATGATGTCTTATTTCAGAAATAATCGTTCTGAAATCAAGCAACACCTTCACACATGATGCATCACAATAATGCACAGAACAACTACATAAATTCCCTGAGTAGTACAAGTGCATAATAAAAGAAAAAAAACAAAGAACAGGACCGAACATCTACTTCTAGAGTACATTTGATCAGCAAACCATTCAGAAATATAAGGCAGGAACTTAGTTTTGTAACAGAACTGCATATATAAAAGAACCAAAAACTACAGGTTGTGTACACCTAGTTCCAGAGAAGAAAAAGACAGTGCATTAGAAGGCAGTGAGTACCTTAAGGTAGTGGGCTTTACGGTGAACACTGGTGCGCTATCACCACCAGCACGCTCTCAAGGTCACCGATGTTCTCTTTGCAGCTGCAGACCGTCCTTTGTACCGACAGAAGCCTTGCTTTATCACCTGGTTTACCTTCTTACCTGAGAGATCACAAAAAAGAAAGATAAATAAAGTTATTATGGATAATTTCTTAGCACAGTGTATTATATTATTGATCGATTAGTTTCCCATATTCATACTATGCCTAATACAACAAAGCAAAATATGATTCATGCTTCTTTAGAAGCAAACCACTCAACAAATTTATATGGAATTTTTTTTTGAAACGTGGGGCAAAAGATTTGCCCCTTTTCATTAATTAGGAGAGGGAAAAGGTCTTTCAAAGTTACAGAGGACAAAAAAATAAAATAAAAGCCCCAAGCATGGGGTGCACAACACATCCGCACTACTCTCCCGGTAGAATGTGACCCAAATGTTTCGCCCCCGCGGTCGCTCAAAGAATCGCCGCTTTCTGGATGGTGTGAAGAAGGATGGTTGGAGGAGCAAAGTTGCGTCGAAAAACCCTTGCGTTCCTTCCCAGATCGACTTGCATACTAGCATAGTGAGGGAATACATCGCCCTTCCATGGATCCTCTGGGTGGCAACCATGTCGAACCACCAGTCCTTGATACTCCTATAGTTCGCCCAGACTGCAACGTCCAAGCTGACAAGCTGAAGCCAATCCTTCACCAAGCCCCATAGCCTCAGCGTGTAGCGGCAGCCAAAGAAGAGGTGCTCGACAGTTTCTAGGCTCCTGGGGCAAAGAGGACAAGGACCACAGTTTGGCCACCCCCTCTTGGCCAACTGGTCAGTTGTCCAAATCATGTTTTGTAGAGCAAGCCACGCGAGGAATTTGACGTTCGGGGGCGTCCAGGTCTTCCAAACAACCTTGCACATGTTTGTGCGAGTGATGGATAAAAAATGCACATTGTACGCGGAGGAAGCAGTGTATTCTCCTGAGACCGTATGCTTCCAAATGATGGAGTCTTCGGCATGCTCATCCAGACTAACACCGTGGATGGAAGTCCACAACTCCAGGAAATGTCTCAGGTGGTCAAAAGAGAAAGCAGCCGTAGAGTTGATTTTGCTAATCCATGGTTCATTGTGCAAAGCTTCCCTGACCTTCCATTGCTTTCGAGACGATGCCTCAAAGATCCGGGGGGCGATGTCCTTGGGCTTGCACCCGTTTAGCCAAGGGGACTCCCAGAAGGGCGCACGGGCGCCGTTGCCGATGGTGATGGTTGTGCATGCATAGAAAAAGAGCTTATCCTCCTCATCACATATGTTACCCAGGCCAACCCACAATCTCGTTGGCGCGGTCCATTCAAGCCAGAGCCAGCGTAAACGAAGCGCTCGGCAGAACTTCTCCAGGTGTAGGACCCCAAGGCCCCCAAGGTCCTTGGGTCTACAGACGCGCTCCCAATTGACCTTACACTTGGCCCCAGTCGTCTTGTGCGAGGCCGACCAAAGGATCGCTCACTCAATCTTGCTGATGTTGTTCAGGGTGCCCCTAGGGATGGGAAGAGCAGTAGCAGTGAAGACAACCTGTGAGGTCAGGACCGATTTGACCAAAACTACTCGTCCCGGAGTTGCAATGTATCTCCCTTCCCAAGGTACAAGCCTTCCTGCGACCTGATCCTCCAGGTACTGAAAGTCGGCACGTTTGAGCTTCCACACCGACAAGGGCAGCCCTAGGTATTTTAGCGGGAAGGAAGCTCTCTTTGCGGGGAGCCCATGAAGAATGTCGTCAAGGTTAAGGTTTCGGCAACGAATGGGGACGACTGAGCTTTTGGAGACATTTGTACAGAGGCCCATGACCTCCCCAAAACCTTACAGAATGGAAGCAAGGTTGTCCACATCCTCCTTGATAGGCTTGATGAAAACTGCTGCATCATCGGCGTAGAGCGAGCTAGGTTCGAAAGGTAGAACCACGTCCCCTTATCTTGTGAAGCAGCCCGTGCCTGGTGGCCAAGTTGAGAACCTGTTGGAGCGGGTCGATGGCAATGACGAACAAAAGGGGTGAGAGCGGGTCGCCTTGACGAAAGCCCTGACCATGCAAAAATGGGGGACCCGCCACACCATTCAGAAGGACACGAGACGAGGACGTGCTTAGGAGCGCTGCAATCCAATCCCTGAAGATGCTTGGGAAACCTCTCTGCTGCAGGAGTTGCGGGATGTAGTCCCATCATACGGAATCAAAAGCCTTGCGGATATCCAGTTTGAAGAGTAAGGAAGGTGTCTTGCTTTTGTTGAGACGTCGAGCGAGGTTGCGGACGTACATGTAGTTGTCATGTATACTTTGCTTTTTAATGAACGCACTCTGGGCATTGGAGACCAAGTTGTCCATGTGAGGTCCCAAATGAAGCGCCAGCGTCTTGTCTATAATCTTGGCAATGGCGTGGATGAGGCTAATGGGCCTGTAATCAGCAACTCCTTCCGTGCCATCCTTCTTCGGCAGAAGCACAATGTTTGCTGAGTTTAGCCAATGCATGTTGGAAGTCCGCAGAGTCCCAAAAGAGTGTATAACATGCATGATATCGTCTTTTACTATATCCCAACAGCTCTTGAAGAACAGCCCGGTGAACCCATCGGGACCGGGGGCCTTATCTTTGGGCATTTGGCACATGGCCGCATACACCTCCTCCTCCGAGAAAGGGTTCACAAGCTCGTGCAAATCCACGTCGGGGAAGTTGAAGTTATCCCTGTTGAAGTCCTTCTCTTGCCTGCCATCCCTGCCCAAGGCACTAGAGAAGTGCTCAAATATGATCTCCTCTTTCTCAGAATGCCCAGTGATCCAGCCATTGTTGTGCTTGAGACGGTGAATGTGATTTTTCTTGTTACGTGCATTCACCCTTAGGTGGAAAAACTTTGTATTGGCGTCCCCTTCTTTTAAATTCCTTATTCTGGAGCATTGCTTTTTCCTTGAGCGCTCAATCACTGCGAGGCCGATAACCCTCCTCTTGAGCCTAGCCCGAAGCTCAATCTCTCCGGCTGACAACTCTCTTGTCTCCTGGGCCACGTCAAGTCTGAGGATGACCATGAGAGTGCTGCATGTTGGGGATATAACTATTTGTGTAAGCTGCCCAGGAGGGGCCGGGTTACGCAAAGGAGGACTCACCAGAAAGAAGCCCAAGACCCAGCATGAAGATGGCGGTTCAATGGTGGTCCTAAAGCCCACCGGCGACTGGAGGCCCGTTGTAATAAACCGCCACAATGGCATGACTTGTATTGTAAGGTAGATTTAACTAGTCACCGAGCCGGACTCTGTTATAAGCCGGCCGGGACTCTGTAAGCCGCAGGGTGCCAACCCATGTATATAAGGGGGTGACCCGCTGGCGGTTAAGGGTAAGAAACAACTCATCGAGAACCGGGCATAGCGTATCTCGCTCCCTGGTCATCGAAACATCAAGCAATACCAACCCAACTAGACGTAGGCCTTACCTTCATCGTAAGGGGCCGAACTAGTATAAACCTCTCGTGTCTCTTGTCCCAATTAACCCCTTCAAGCTTCCTAGTTGCGATGGCTCCATGATTAAGTCCTTTCACTAGGACATCTGACGTGACAATTCCACGACAGTTGGCGCCCACCATGGGGCCAGCACACGGTGGATTTGAGTTCTTGAAGGGCAACTTCGAGGGGCTCAAGGGATACGCAGTAGGCCGGATGACCAAGAGTCGTCGCGGCAAGATCTACATCAACGACGAAGGCTGGGGCCCCGACGCCGGCTCAATTGAGTATGGATACCGGGTCCCCTTCGGTGGAATCCACGTCTTCAT